GCACACTGTGCATGGGCATGCAGCGTGTATTTGTTGCGCACTGTGCATGCGCAAGTAGCACACATTTGGTGTGCACTTCACATGCAGTGCGCATTTGGTGTGCTGCCTGTGCGCAGTGCACACGGCATGCAGCATCATGCACGGCCAGCAAACCAGTAGTAAAAAAAAGCTCAGATTTCACCCCTGGCTATGCCCACCTGCCCGGACGTCATCACGGGCGCTTGGTGCATGCGCAGAAGGTTCTGCACATGCACAAAAGCACCACACGTGAGTGGAGCAAGCATCCGTGCGCTCACAGTTCCAAACCGGATATCGAAGGTAAGTGGAATCCACTGGAATCCACTGGAAAAAAGAACTTATGGTTATGAACATTGTAAGACTGAGTTTGATTGCCAGCATGATCGTCAACATCCAGATATGGATATGGATATGGCACAAAAAGAAGAAGACTGAGTTTGAAACAGAATTGTGTACAAATGATGAACATGTAATTGTTAAATTGTGTAAACTTTTATTGAAATTAGAAAAGGAAGATCAAGTGAAATAATTTATTCTAAAGTAGGCTAGAATTTTTGTTTATAATATACAGATGAAACAATGGGAAATTATTTGGAAAAAGATTGAAATTTACACTATGTTATAATCTTAAAGAGGATTTTTATAAAATGTTAGTAAATGTCATTGGAAAAACATTGGAAACATGAACAGCAAGAGGGACATTTTATCACGCTTGGTGGCATCTAATGACAGTCTGAAAATTTTAGATGCAAATGCATGCATTAATTCAGATCATTTTTTAAAGATTATTATACAATTGAGACCAGAATCCATAATTTTTCTTTTGGGAATAATTGATAAGTAGTTTGAAAAAAAGTTATAGAACTTTGTTTTTATATAACTGCTGTGATATTATTGCATGCGCAATGGTAGAAAGATTCAAGTTTACCCACAATGGATGAATGGATAGCAAAGATGATGAAACTTGCAGAGATGGCTAATTGGCATCTTTGATCAGAGAAAAGACATTACCTAAGTTTATTGCTGTCTGGAAACCTCTTATAAAGGTTTTGTGTAAGAAAACGAAAAGGATGAACATTTGATTTATGGTTTCAATAATTAGGAAAGAATAGATTATAGAATAAATGAAAGATTTAACTATACAGTAAGAGGTACGTTTCTATTTATAACTGCATTTCTATAAAGAAAATTAGAAACTACTTTATATTTTCTTTCTTTTTTCTCAACTTTTTTCTTTGTTTTTTTCTTCTTTTTTTCTTCTCTATATTGATTTCTGTTAGTTTTTATCCTTATTAAAATCATAATAAAATTGTAATAAAAATATATCCTAGAGAACTACTTATAATAATAACAGAATAACAGAGATGGAAGGAACCTTGTAGGTCATCTAGTCCAATCCCCCACCCAAGCAGGAGACCCTACCCCATTTCTGACAAATGGCAGTCCAAAGCTTCCAGGAGTAGTGAAGCTCCCACAACTTCTGAAGGCAAGCTGTTCCATTGGTTGATTGTTCTCACTGTCAGAAAATTTCTCCTTATTTCTAGGTTAAATCTCTCCTTGACCAGTTTCCATTCATTATTCCTTGTCTGGCCTTCAGGCACTTTAGAAAATAGGTTGACTTCCTCCTCTCTGTGGCAGCCCTTCAAATATTGGAACACTACTATCATATCTCTCCTGGTCCTTCTCTTCACTAGACTAGCCATGCCCATGTTCCTGTAACTGTTCTTCATATGTTTTAGCCTCCAGTCCCCTAATCATCTTTGTTGCTCTTCTCTACGCTCTTTCTAGAGTCTCAACATTGTTTTTATAGTGTGGTGACCAAAACTGGATGCAGTATTATAGGTGTGATCTTACTAAGGCTTTATAGAGTGGTATTAGTATAAGTTAAAAAGTTGGTTTGCCTTTTTAAGATATGATAATTCTATCATAAAGGTAAAGGTTCCCCTCGCACATATGTGCTAGTTGTTCCCGACTCTAGGGGGCGGTGCTCATCTCCATTTCAAAGCCAAAGAGCCAACGCTGTCCGAAGACATCTCCGTGGTCATGTGGCAGGCATGACTAAACACCAAAGGCGCATGCAATGCTGTTACCTTCCCACCAAAGGTGGTCCCTATTTTTCTACTTGCATTTTTTACATGCTTTCGAACTGCTAGGTTGGCAGAAGCTGGGACAAATAACAGGAGCTCACCACATTACGTGGCACTAGAGATTTGAACCGCTGAACTGCCGACCTTTTGATCGACAAGCCCAGCGTCTTAGCCAGTGAGCCACCACGTCCCTTAATTCTATTATAATTTAAATTTAAAAAAGGAATTCCAGTGAGTTCACTTATGCTTGATAATTGCAGTTATTCTTAGTATTCGTATTTGTTCCATGCTATGATATTACCAAGTAATACTGGGTAAAATTTGACATAGTAATACCTGAATACTTTCAGTAAAGTTGTGTCCATGATTGCTGAAATGCCAAACAAAATGTTCAAGAATTTATAACTATCCTATTAATCTTCTTTCTGTCACATTTTCCCCTTAAACTCTTGAATATTACAATAGTCAAGAACAGTAGCATGAAAAAAAGGTAAAGCAGAACACAAACATGAAGTGGTTGCATGGTGAGAGTTTTAATTCAATTTATTAAAACTTTACCTTCTTATTAGAAACAAACTTAAACAAACTAATAAATCTGGCAAGACTCAAAAATCCTATGTATACAATTTTTCAATATTCTGTTAATAACATTCTATAAAAGTAAGGATCAAATTTAGAAATCAGCTCTTTTATGTCACTTATACAGAAAATAATATAGTGCTCAATTACCCATGGGAATCTTTATAAATGGCACAAAAATAAATTGATTCTAGGGTTATCAGGTTAAAAAATATATATTTTATTCCGCAACTTTCATCAATACAATGCATAAATCATAAAATAAGATCTATGTTGTAAAACTCAGCTCAGACAATGGTAAAAGCATTATTGCCTTGATTAAGTAACACATCAAAGAAAATGCCAGTAAAGCCCACCTCATCCATAACTTGATTGTTGATGAGACAGTTGACCTGGCTCATTTTACTTCCTAAGTGGCTAACACTGCATTGTTTTTGGAAATCTTTTCCACCACACATTTCTGAAGTGGCTAAGCTGCATTGCCTTTGGAAACCATTCACCAAAAAAGCAATAAAATGGACAACTGGAAGGGATTCTGATTTGTCTCCTCAACAGTCTGTGCTGAAAAAAAGGTTACATTTTAATTTATCTAGTTGTATATAACAAAAGCCAAATCAATTCTTTCCTCATTTATGTTTGGACTTTTCAGAAAACAGTTCCCAAATCCATATTTTGATATTAGTCACCTTTAAAAATGACCAGCAGTACTAGCACTATAACTGCATACTTAATCTGCCCATCTGGGGATTAAAATGAAAATTCTGATTGCATGATTTAGTGTTCCCTTATCTTTCATTTGTAAATTAATATTGTTAATCTGTTCTTATTTTTATAAGCAACCATAGCAAATATGCAATCTCAGCATTTCTCCGCTTCATGCCTTCCAGTTGAGTTGGGCTTTATCTCTTAGAACAGCTGATCAGCATTAGAGTTTCTTAAACACACACACACACACACACAACTATATATATAGTTGCATTCTAATAATTTAGATTCATTTTTTGTGACTAAAAGAAAAATAAGGTACTCATTTTCCTTTATTAAAATATAAACAAAAACAATAGAACTTGTTGTAAATATAAATATGTATAATTGCTTTCAAACAGCATTGCTGGCAAGGGTTCATATAAACCTATAAATAACCAAGTTACTAAAAATCTAAAATCGGGGTACATGGGAGGATTTTTTCCCATTTTTGTTTGGTTTGATTTGTTTTCTCCAGTCCACAAATGGCTGTAGCTTACTTGTTTATTTGTTTTTTCTTTACCTCTTTCCCATAATTTATTTCTAACATTCATGTGAACTGGAAATCTACAGAAAAGAGCTATAATAAAAAAAATTATGAAACCCCTGAGAAGTTATAGTATTTCCACTCTTGTGTTCTTGATTAACAGCTCTGCATGATATCAAGGCACTTTTAAGAGCATGTGAATGTCTTCTTGATAAAAAAAATCAAATCAACAAGTAAAAATGAGGAAGTTGATATTTTTATAGGTTAAAAATTTATAGTGTTTATGCATCTCTTAAACATTAATATAAATTGTGCTGTCTTTGATTCTGCAATCTTGCAGCAAATTCATTCTCATGGTAAGTGGTTAGTAAGCTGGCAGATATAAAATAAATGAAAGATGCTGGCATAAAATAACATTCCACAAAATATAGGTAAACTGGAATCTGCCCCTGACTCTGATTTGCGGCCACATAAAGGTTGAGTGGACCATCTGACAGAAGAAAATATATAAACCGGGAATTCATGGCTGTGAATGTGAAGTGCTATTCTGAGTCAATGTGTCCAGTAAATGGTGCAGCCTGACAAAAATATAGCAAATAAAACCGGGATATTTTATGAGACAAAATAAAATATAGTATCCAGCTATTCTATCTAGTGGTCATCAATTAATGTCCCCATTCGTGTCTGCAGAAAAGTCTATTCAGTCCCAAAGACAGAAAAATGACAGCATCACAGAATGAAAGAAGTTAATTGGAATTAAAAGGCAGGCCAAAGAATAAATATAAATACAATATACATGCTTCATTTAGTAGGTTCCATTTGCAAAATGTCCATCTTATATAGAAGCAAATTACTATTTATTTCATACTCTTCTTTACAGGAATTGTGAAGAGCTTCCTAAATTCTCTCAGTTCCACATAATAACTTTGTGGAGGTTAAGGTACAAAATCAGGATCGGCTAAACATTAGATTTCCCAGAAATCTAAGTCTATTATTCTGAGTTCCAGTATTCTTCATTCACTGTAAGATAAACAAACAAGTCTTCTTTTGTGTGACTTTTTAACATTTTCTTTGCCAAAGGTCAAGGTGAAAGAAGCTACAATCAGCCATTACTGTTTCAGATTGCTTTCCAGAGCCGCATATGTCCTAACTGCATATATGAAAGGAGCTAGTGACAAACAAGATACATACTGGCATCAACAGCAGACTGTGAGTTTGCCTCATAACATAACTGCATGCAAGTTGTAATTTTCCCTTCATAATGGCTTGCTGTGGATGCCTATTCCTAAGTGTGTATTTGTTGAAACAGAAATACTTTGTAGATGTTCAGAACCCAACAGGTTATTAAGGAAGTGGCACTGAAATAGTTCTGATGTTACTCTACAGGTGTGAAATGCAACCCTAATAGCTTCCCAGCTGAATTTCATTAATAATGCAATGAAACCATTTGTGACATTTACTGTAACATGTATATTGCAAGATATGCACCTCTCTTAAGTGTGCAACTTTTTAATATAATCTTGAAAGCTAAGAGGAGGGAGCTGAAATAATTACAGCTCGTTTCCATAATGAATGCTGCCTCAAAGATAATTAAAAGAAAAACATTTAGAACTTACACTGTCCAAATTAATTACAGTGACTCAAATGATTTGTTAGAAAGAAATGGTCAAAAATAACTGACTTTCCCTTAGCCGTATGAATATAAACTCACTTGGGGAAGTGAAAACAAGAGAGCAGTAAGAATAAAGGAGGTTGCAGACATGTAAACAATTTGAATTACATTGATAAATTATACTATATATGTGTGTGTGGTCCCCTTCATGGATCACTACCTTGTCACGGCAAAGGAGCTTGTGTAGCTCAATGAAGCTATGAGCTATGCTGTGCAGGGCCACCCAAGATGGACAGGTCATAGCAGAGAGTTCTGACAAAACGTGATCCACTGGAGAAGGAAATGGCGACCCACTCCAGTATCTTTGCCATGAAAATCCCATGGACAGTACCAAAAGGCAAAAAGATATGATGCTGAAATATGAGCCGCTCAGGTTGGAAGGTGTCCAATATGCTACTGGGGAAGAGAAGAGAACTAGTACTAGTAGAGCCAGAAAGAGTGAAGTGACTGAGTCAAAGCCGAAAGGATGCTCAGCTCTGGATGTATCTGGTGGTGAAAAGAAAGTTCGATGCTGTAAAGATCTATACTCCATAGGAACCTGGAATGTAAGATCCATGAATCAAGGCAAGTTGGACGTGGACAAACAAGAGATGACAAGACTGAACATTGACATCTTAGGAATCAGCAAAGTAAAATGGACAAGAATAGGTGAATTTAATTCAGATGACCATCAGGTATACTACTGTGGGCAAGAAGAAATGGAGTAGCCTTCATAGTCAATAAAAGAGTAGGAAAAGCAGTACTGGGATACAATCACAGAATGACAGAATGATCTCAGTTCTAATCCAAGGCAAACCATTTAACATCACAGTAATCTAAGTCTATGCCTGAACCACTGCTGCTCAAGAGGATGAAGTTGACCAGTTCTATGAAGCCCTACAGCACTTTCTAGAATTAACACCAAAAAATGATGTCCTTATCATCATGGGGGATTGGAATGCTAAAGTAGGAAGCCAAAAGAAAACAAGAATAACAGGCAAGTTTGGCATTGGAGTACAAAATGAAGCAGGGCACAAGCTGGTAGAATTTTGTCAAGAGAATATGATGGTCATAGCAAACACTCTTTTCTAACAACCCAAGAGAAAACTCTACACATGGACATCACCAGAAAATTAAAACGTACTTCAATAAAGTATTAGTTTAAGGGTGTGCATACTTATTCAACTATGTTACTGTACATTTTTATTGTGATTTTTTCCCCTTAAAATATTTCAGTTTGTTTTTCTATTGAATTATACAGTTTACATATTATATTAAAGGTGGAATACTTCTTAAAAACCTGGCATTATAACAGGGATGTGTAGACTTTTTATACTCACTGTCCCATCCATAGGGATAAGAAGAGATTTTATAATAATATATTCCAATTGAATAATGCTATTTATTCTTAAAATGAATGATCAAACATTTCTGAACTGGTTACAGTTGAATTTTGGGTAGTAAATGTTTTGGATTTGTGTCACTTACTATTACTAATATATAGAAGAATCCTTTTGCATATAATAAGTACAGAGAATACAGAAATGTATGAAACCCCTATTGAAATGCTTCTGTCAACTAGTCTCACTTCTCTGATAGAGTAGATGTATTTTATGATACTGCATGGTTAATTGTATGTGAGTGGCTTTCATCACAAAATATGCCACTTTAAATCTTAATTCTTTTCTGTCTTGTTAGGCATTACCTGAACAAGATGCAGCAGTAGAGCCACTAAAAGTAAAAAAAGTGGTGTGATCAATAATATGGATGCTGCCAATAAGGCTTCTGGGTGAAAAACCAGTTCGAAGGTAATGTTTTTTAATGAATTCATCTGGTAGGATATTGTAAAATTTGAATACCCAAATTAACTATATACATAACAGTGATGGCTAACCTTTTCCAGACCAAGTGCCCAAAGTGTGTGCGTGTGCATGCACGAATGTGTGTGCATGCCCCCAAACCAGCAAAATGCAATGTGCATGCGGCCCTCGCATACCCCTTGCCCCTGTGCATTTTCGCGCAGTGCCCTGACACCCCACGCCCCCCACAAGAATGCCTGCCAAAGATCCCGATGACCAGCTGGCCAGCGGGAGACACACGCACATGCGTGGCGGAGCTAAACTGGGGCAATGGCTCGCGTGCCCACAGAAAGGGTGCTGCATGCCACCTGTGGCATGCATGCCATAGGTTCGCCATCACAGCTCTAAAATGTGTGGAACATAATGTGCAGATCTAGCCAACATACTTGTAAAGTGAAGTTCTGGAGACAGAAAGGAACTAGATTGGATATATAGCATATTGTCTCTGCTGTAATATAATAAAAACTCCAGTGAAGAGTCTTCACTATCTTTTGTTCTCTCTCCATCCCTCCTCCTCTCCCTTTCTCCCCTTTTCACTCTTTAGCTGTTAGATGACTGAGCTTCTAGTGAGAGAACAGCACTAATCCATATGAATGAGAATGTAGTAATTCTGCAGCAATTCCAACCTCATTAAAACTACTGAAGCTGTACTAGGTTTAACAAAGGTCAATGGAAAGGCTCTTGCTAACTCCAGTGTGCCTTGGACCCAACCTGAGTCACTATCTATTTTGATTCAATTTGTTTCGAGATTGTGAATTCAGTTACACTGTTATTGATAATGGATTTTAAAGCTTCAATCCTTAATCAGTGGAATTAGCATATGTATCTAATACAGTATTTTATTCCCTTTATGTCACATCCCTTTTTCCCTTTTTCTTTAAAAAAAAAAAAGCCTTATTCCTGGATATATTTAATAGAAGGTGGTGAAAATGCAGATAGGATTAGTATAAGCTTTGCATACTGCTTCAGTGCTTCTGCAAATAAACTACAAGGATGGTGATTAATCTGGTGCACTTTAACTTTTATTTATTTTTAAAAATCAGCAAAAAGAGTTTTTTCTTTGTCAGTTGGGACATTTGAGAAAAGTAAAACAAAAACAATTACTTTAATTAACAGAAATGTGGGTTTTATGATTGCTAACACAGTAACATGTCTGTTTGTGTTTTTCCATTGACTTTTCAGTGCCAGGCTGAACCTCCTATTAAAGTTACATAGGAATAGAATAAACAGTTATTATTAGTCAGTTTAATCCTCTAACATTGCTTAAATAACTCTTCCCTGCAGCATCTGGTAAGAAATATTAGAACTGTTGCATGACTTTACAACATCCAACATGCCCATAAATATTCCTACCAAGAAAAGAGTTTTGACAAGATTCTGCCAGAAGCGTGTCATGTTGTCATAACAGGCCTGACTTGCTTTTCAACTGAATGGTTGAAATTATATTAGACAGGACTGTAGAACTAAATAGCTTCTGGGATTAAATTTATTGACTACTTTTATTGAAGATTGTGAAAAGCTTTGAGAGATTTGGGTAGACAAAACTTTGAATCACTCTATTGAAGAAAATTCCAGAAATAAAATACAGGAATTTTTGAACTGACATTTTTCACTAACTGTGTATTAGCTATAGATTTAGCCAAAGTTTATGAAACATATTCCCGCCAAGCTCCCATCCAATCAGTTCACACCCCCACTGGCAGTTAAAAGGAAGAAACAGCTGTGATCACACATTGCTCCTAGAAGCGTGAAGCCAAAAGCACCAGCCTGAAGATGACGAATGAGACTTTGTTGAAACGTTGCCAAGACAACGTTATTCGGGTCACCTCCACCCAATCACAACACAGCCAAGTTCCCACCCAATCAGCTCACACCCCCACTAGCAGTTAAAAGGAAGAGACAGCTGCGATCTCACATTGCTCCTGGAAGCACGAAGCTGAGAACACCAGCCTGAAGATGACGAATGAGACTTCGTCGAAACATCGCCAAGACACTTCCAATTCTACGTGGGAGAAGACCTGAATAACCAAAGACCTACATACAAACACCCGCGAAAACCTGAGAAAACAAATATATATATATGATTGGGTGGAGGTGACCCGAATAACATTGTCTTGGCAACGTTTCGACGAAGTCTCCACAGACAGAATAAGCAAAATCCTCCACAAACATAACATCAAGACAGCATTCTGCACAAACCGAAAAATATCCACCATCCTAAGGAACCCCAAAGACAAAATTGAGTTAGAAAATCAAGGAGTATATGAAATCCCATGCACCGCCTGCCCCACCACATACATCGGACAAACCAACAGACAAATAAGTGCACGCATAGAAGAACACAAGAACTCAGTCAGAAAAGAGGAACCAACTTCTTCCCTGGTCCAACACCTTAAAGCCACAGGACATGATATTGACTTTAAAAAGACCAGAACTATCGCCAAAACTGAACACTTTAACAACAGAATAATCAGAGAAGCCATCGAGATAGAAAAACGCCCACACAGCATGAACAAACGAGATGATACCTCCCGCCTACCAGCCATTTGGAAACCCGCCCTTATTGACAAACGAGTCCCTAACATGACGAATGACACCAGACCCACACTCACGAGAGCCACACAGGATGTCACCACCACACATCCACGCAGAAAGCAGACTCAAACCCACACTGATAATGAGCCACGACCAAGGACCAGAAGCCAGACCGCAGCTGCATCATTAGCCACTTTAAACCCCTCCAATCCATACATGAAGCAGACTGACACCCACCATGAAGAGCTCTCAGGGCCACGAACACGAAGCCAAACAACAACAACGCAGCTCACCAGCTCAAATCCCCCTGCAACTCAGACTAAGCTGAGCACAACCAAGCCCCCACCCAACAGAATACACCCCCAGCCAATCAGAGCACAACCAACCCCCCATCCAATCAGAGCACAGCCAAGCCCCTAACCAATCAGAACACACCTCGACCCAATCAGAACACAGCCAAGTTCCCACCCAATCAGCTCACACCCCCACTAGCAGTTAAAAGGAAGAGACAGCTGCGATCTCACATTGCTCCTGGAAGCACGAAGCCGAGAACACCAGCCTGAAGATGACGAATGAGACTTCGTCGAAACGTCGCCAAGACACTTCCAATTTTACGTGGGAGAAGACCCAAATAACCAAAGACCGACCTACACACACACACACACACACACACACACACACACACACACACACACAGACATGTTTATGAAACATATTCCTGCCAAGCTCCCATCCAATCAGTTCACCCCCCCACTGGCAGTTAAAAGGAAGAAACAGCTGCGATCACACATTGCTCCTAGAAGCGTAAAGCTGAGAACACCAGCCTGAAGATGACGAATGAGACTTCGTCGAAACATCACCAAGATACTTCCAATTTTACATGGGAGAAGACCCGAATAACCAAAGACCTACATACAAACACCCGCGAAAACCTGAGAAAACATATATATATATATTTATTAATGTATTAAAGTGTATTAAAAAACTTGTGCTAAGTTCAGGATAGTATATTTCTTTATTAGAAGTAGAGGCATTGGAATGAATCTTCTAATCACAAGAAGGAAAGACAACTGGTGGATCTCAAAAGGATGTTTTTTTAAAAAAAATATAATAATAGCCCATGCACAATTTATCCCCCAACTGTGCATAGAGCATATAGTGATAAGGGCATATTTGAGAAGCAGCCTCCACTCCTGTATTACATATTGATAATGATGGGATGAATTTCAAAATAATGCATATTATTAATCTTATATATAGAGAGAGAGAGAGACAAAGTGATTCTGATGAGCAGAACATGGGGAATCAAAGGAAAACAACACTATTATGAATCCTTAAATAAAAATCCAAATAAAACAATCAGAAAAACAACCAAACAAAGACCAAAACCTAACAAACAAAAAATTATAATCTCCCATAGGGACAAAGGTAGAGATAACACTGAACAAACTATTATCAAACATTGGAGGCTTCATTCAGAGCCAAGGAATGAAATACAAAGCAAGGTCATGGAACTATTATATAGTCAAACTATCCAGCAACAGAGTTGCCCAGGGAAAACAAGTTTGCATTAAGTTATAAGGAGATAGCAAACTCAAGAAAAACAAGCAAAGATAACCATATTCATCAGAAAGTGAAGCATACTACAGCTCTCCAAGACCAGGAGTTTCTATGAAAAGCCTGGACCTCTGTGATAAGAGCAAGGTATGTTACCGCTGTTTAAAGGTGTCATAGATTGATACTATAGTTATCTTACACCTTTTGGAGATGCAGTCCCATTAAGCATAACTTCGTACTGCAGTAGCACTGCAAGAACACGGTTACATTTTAATTCTAAATGAAAGAACAAAGAAAGCAAGTTTGGTGTAGTAATTATCACACAAGTCTAAAAACCAGGAGATTGTGAATTCTACTCCTGCCTTAGGCAGATAGACAATGATTTTGGGCCAGTCATTCTCTCTCCTAAAATGGTAAAATGATAATCCCAAATCAATCTACTTTATGGCAGAGGCAATCTAGAAATACTACCTCCTTGTTTCTTCATGTCAAGTGCATTCCTAAAGATCTGCTAGGAATTAGGTTAGAGTTAAATGTTTTCTTTATTTATTTATTTTTTTGGTAAATTTATTCCTTGTCAGAGATTTTTCTATGTTGAGCATGTACCTGACAGAGAGCATATTTTTCCACTTATTGGTAGTAAATCAATCCATCTGTACCCTAGCACCACATGAACTATTTTGAATTTAAATCTTATGCCAGTAGAGAATTTTAAATTGATCTTTTACATTTTAAAAGTTAAAATGTGATTCCATTTTAAAAGAACATCCTGAATATGTGTTTTCACATATCTCCTAGTTAATGGGTTGTAATCAATAGATGTTTGCTTGCAAAATAATATCTAGAGACATATACAAGCTCAGATAGAATAGCATGAGTAAAACTGGGTTATATACTTGTGACCAAACTCACAGATACTGTTGTTACTATTAGTATGGAATGCTCCATGTGGTATGGATATGATTAAAGCTGACAAATCTCTCTGCACTTTCTCTAATTTACTAAAAGTATTAAGTGAAAACCTTGGTTGATCAAAGCTATGATGTGTAACAAAGGTTAAAGGCTATAGGCACATCTCACGATGATCATGGCATACAAAAGAGTTTGACTTTGACAGTAAGAATGGTGAACAACATGAAAAAAATAGATATGTTGTATGTGTATGTTGTAATAGCATGGATAAATGGAATGAGATGACAGATATAGGAAGAGCTTCGGCATTTGGAAACCCAAGAAGAGGGACTAGGGAAATCAGGAGATTTAGCAAGTTCAAATGAATATAAAGATTTATTGCAAATGTAAGTTCTCTACAAGAATCTGACCAACTAATCGTTAAGGAAAATGAGCGGAAGATAAAAGAGGCATTCAAGGTGGGTGGACTTAGATCTCTTGCGAGCACGCAGGGACTCATGGCTTATGACACTTTTAACCTCTTCCTTGGGTTCAGCCTGGTCATCTCCTACAATTATTTCAGAGTGTGTGTGTGCGCGTGCATGTGCGTGTGTGCAATGGAATTTATATAAATGGAAAAGTTTGATTAATTTGCTTATAATAAAGGTATGAGAGAAATAGGGAAAGTGATAAGTTCTAAATGTGGGGCAGAAGATTTTTTGATGGTGTCAGGAGTTGATTCTCAGATGAAAGGAATTAAAGCAAAAGTGCAGAAAGACAAACTACCAGTTCTATTCAAGAAAATATCAGAAAACAGATTCATTTCCAAAGAGAATGACTGGAAAGAAGATGTAAGGAATGGATTATGGAAGCTACTGGGAACAAAGTGAAAAAAAATAAGTTTCAAAGTACCACAGAACTGAGTGATGTTATACTAATAAGGAAAAAAAAAGATGCTTGATGGAATGATGGAGTGAAAGAAACTGTGGATGAGATAAAATGCACAGCATGGCTAGTAAAATGTCAGCATAAATTCATTGTCTTATATGACATTGCCAGTAAATCAGTTCACCAATAAATAGCAGCTGGGTAACTTCCCTCTTGTTCACTTTTTTAATATTTCCAGGATAATTATGTGTTACCTATGACACTGGTAACACATGGTGTCACTGGTTCATGCATTCAGAGCATCTCATCTGCTCCATGCCTTATCCTTTGTGATCTCTGTGTGTTTAGCTGGCAGGTCTAAAGAAGACTTTTATTTACTATACACTGAATGTAAACAAAACTTTCTACAAACCTTGGCATCTTCCCTTATTAGGGTTCCAGATACTATAATGTCTGCCTTGCAAGATATACAAGGCCTTGGTAGCACAGTGGACTAAAGCACTGTTATTAACATCTGCTGCTTGCAATTACTGCAAGTTCAAATCTCACCAGGCTCAAGGTTGACTCAGTGCCTTCCATCCTTTCAAAGGTAGGTAAAATGAGGACCCAGATTGTGGGGGCAATAAGCTGACTTTGTATAAATATATAAAAGTATGAAGGCTATTGCTTAATGCATTGTAAGCCACCCTGAGTCTCTAGAGAAGGGAGGCATATAAATTAAAGCAAAAAAAAAAAAAAAAACAAGGCAAGAAACATGGCTAGATGAGGTAATTCTATTTTATTGGAAAGTTACATTAACAGAATCTTGAAAGACTGAAGGTACTTCTCTCCCAACATTTCTCTTACAGCCCAAAAAACTAGGGAGGGTCCCTTCTGATGCTCTTGCCCCACCCACATTCCTGCTGTGTGCTCAGCTGTCTTTTATTTGGTCATTTCCTTGGTTGCTCTCCTTGTCCTTTCTCTCCCAAGGTCATTCCTACTTATCATTTCATATGGATTGCTGATCTCATGTTCCGATGAGGTTAGCAATTGTTTGTTTTTGTCTCTCAGCTGGATAGTAATGATGCTTTTGCACATTGAGTAGTTAGGACTGTAGATTGGTCTATATATATGGTAGGTGCAGAGTCAGGTGCAATGGGACATGATTCTGCCTTGTGTCTAGAATTAAGGCTAAATTGTCAGTTAGGTGTGCTTGATGCTCTGTTTGATTCTTCAATGAGAATTTCTGTGCCAGGAATTTAAACCAACAATGTCCTGGATTTCAATAATTATTAACTGATTTTTGAGGCTATTCTGTACATAAACTATTTTCTTTTAAACATAGCTTCACATTTAGTCCAAATTCCTTTTTGATGAGAGAAGGAAGACACAAGTATTAAAGTCTCTATGAGTTATAACACTTTGCCAACTTTATGCCCTCCAGATGTGCTGGATGACTGCTTCCAACATTCCCATCCAATCATGGACACACAAAACTCACATGGAGATATAATCCAATGCAACTGCAAGGCATCAGCTTCAGAAAGGTTGCTCTACAGAATACAAAGTACCTTTTAATTTATCCAGAAACCTGCAGAATTGAACCTTGCAAAATTGTTTGGGAAACATGTCTAGACAGAGTATCTCTTTCACACATGTAGTTGTAAAATGGAAGTGTACAAGCTTGTTTCTCCATATATCCTTGACTGGATAATCAAATAAATTTAGCCGGTAACATTTAACATGCTGGAAAAGTACCATACTAGATGTTTTATAGAAGCTCATCAGAGATTCCTCAATTTTTTTCACCTGTATTTCAGCAATGTAAATATGTCATAATGGCATTTTCTCAGTATTTTCATTCTGTGTTCCTATATAAATCACAGTGCAGAAGAATCTACAGTTGTTCTAACTTTTGTTTTTAATCAATGGAAGAAATGAAAATTCCTTGATTTATTTTACATCAAGAATCTGAAACTGAGCATTTTCAGGGAAAATAAATCACAGAAAGATTTCTTCACTCTAATTTTAAATAGATCTAAAAAGAATGGTTTTTCTTAAAATGAGTTATTTGGGCAGAAATGGATTTTGCATTAAATTGTACCTATATTATGCTAAATCTCAGCTGTGATCAGCTGAAAGCCTGATATACCAACCAGTACAGTGCACCAATTTATTTTTCTGAATCTCTTTCTGAATACATTTTTGTACTAACAGACAACAAAAACTTAAATGGACAATTTCTTGTAATAAAAATGTCTCTAACAAAGAATATGTTGTCATTCTCTTTTTTCAAGTCTGGATGGTTTACAATAATCCTTCATTTTAATTTATTGCTATCAAATAGCAAACAAATTCTTGGACATTTCTAATAGGTCTTGGCTTGCCACCATGAAATGTCTAGGCTTTAAGTTTATAGAATGGTAATTTCCAGAGTTTGGGGCCATAATGCACACAAGAAATTAATAACAAATCATATACCCATAAAAGTTTTGGATTATAATCTTATAACTCATTTCTGTAAAGAAGTACAGTGAACATAATGTAGGATTGTGGTAGAAAATAGTTTGTGAAATCAAAGAAGCCCCCAACCCCATCCCACATCTTGGAAATCATAGGAAAAACAGGAATTAATGGTCATTGGCCTTGATTGCAGTTTGATTTCCTCTGAAGGCCATATGCTGGAGATTAGTAAACTTCCTTGTGAAATTGGCTGGCCAGAACAAACATCTGGACTAGATGATCTAGAGGTATAGAAGATCAATATTTCTGACATAAGCTTCTGAAGAAGGGAAACAAATGGGAATGAGGCAGGGAGTAATGGCACTTTAATCACAATGTCAGCGGTTGAACTGTGATATAATGATGCATGTTTTGTCCGGCTAGTATCATCCCCTGTTAATTCCCTATTCTTCCGATTCAACTGCAATAGATAACCCATAACAAAGCCTACAGTAGTTCATTTCTCTAGTCAGTGCTTAATCTAATGTTATATTTTATGGACTGAAGCACAGCAACAAATCAGTCATTTTGTCAATGAATTTTACTCAATAACTTTGGAAGATCAAGCTATAAAGGAAAAAGATATTGACTTCCAAATTTTGTGTGAAAAAAAATTTCTTCAATCTCCTTACATTTATTTTCATTTGGTGACCTTAAGTTTTCACCTTCTAAGAATGGAAAGGGGGGAAATCCTTTTCTTAATGTTATCAATATTATTTCTCAATTATTTTATATAGCTGTATCATGTCTCCCCCCTGCCACCAATGACTGTAGTTTTTACATGTAGAGAAGTGGCTCCAGCTCCTCCAAACACTTTCCTCTCCCTTTTTAGAATCTTCTGATACACTAAATCTAGCCTGGAAAGACAGTTCTGTAAGAACTGGAAACTGAGACATGTAAATCTTTAATCACCAGCATGTTGACCAGGGGTGGGTTCTACTTACTTTTACTACCGGATCGCAATGGGGCCGCGTGCGCAAGAAGCTTCTGCGCATGTGCAGAAGCTTCCTGATGACGTCGGGGTTGATGAGCGGAGCCTCCCACTGGTTTTACTACTGGTTCTTGCCAACTGGTCCGAACTGGGGGCAATCCACCACTGATGTTGACCCAGAAAAAAACTGGTAACTAATGCAGTGATTGTAGAATAACTACTAATTACATTAGCAGATAGACACTATATATTGGATCAGCTTCAGAATCTTCTTCAAAAGCAGCACCATGTAAAATTTGCTATAGTAATTTATTAGTAAGGTGGTGAGGTATGAATCATTGCAACCAGGGCCTCCCAGCTTGAAATGATCTACAATTGCTCTGCCAGCAAATGTTTGGGGAAAAAACCCTCTGGAGACCTCCCAAATCATCAACCTGATACTTTAAGGGGAAATGTGAATAATGACTGGAAACATGAATGAACTAAATTAATCACCAAGACATAGTAGGTCTATTCCATTTTATAGAGCCCTGTGCCCCCTTGATATACAAGGCAACTCTGTCAAGAATATGTCCTTTCCCATCTTTTCTGTAAATTTCATATGCAGAAATAGTGTCCCATTGAGATTTCCTCTTGAATATAAGCTCCTACATAGAGCTTTGTTCTTGGATGTTCTGTAACATACACTTTTAGCCTTGTGATCTTCTGGCTTTTTTTACTGATTATATATGTTTTTTTTTATATAATTTACTCTGTCCTCCTTTATATGGTTAACAATAAATTTACAATAACTTCTGCCAACTGCAGATAGATAAGATATTTTTGGAAGGAGAAGTGTTTGTTTAATCTGTAGCTCTCAGAATTCCCAATCATGTCTGCTAACTGTTGGAAATGTAATCAGATACCTGGTTCATATTATCATATGTGGTGGACATGGCCAAAAGCAAAAAAATATTGGACAAAAATGCACACATGTTTGGAAAAAATGATAAAACAACACATAGATCTGAAACCTGAAATATTTTTGTTGGGCATCCTACTGGAAAAATACAACAAAGGGAAAAAATATTTGATTTTACGTGTATTAACTGCAGCTAGAATTGTATTTGCACAACAATGGAAAAGTGAAGAAATCCCGACAGATAAAAATGCAATTTAAAAAATATTAGAATGTGCAGAAATGGATAGATTAACATTGAAAATTAAGGAAAAAGAGGACACTGAATATTTTTTGACATGGGATCTGTTTTATCAATGGTTGGCTAATAAAAACAGAAGTTAGAAGCATAGAAATGTAAGAAAGGGTTAATGTTATAAGGGAGATTTATTAAAATGGATAAGTAAATATTATTATAGAATTAATATCAATGCAATTACTACTGTTGTAAGTATTTTCATTATTATTTTCTAAAATAACATGTACCCAGATAACACACTGTTCAATTGAAATTGAAATTTATATAGGTTATAAGATTAAAAAAAAATACAAAAAAAAAAAGAATTCCTAATCAGTTTTGCCACAATCACAGGAAAATATTGAAAATCTAATCCCAAAATATGTAGAGGCTGCCAGTTTTGGAAAATCACAATTAAAGATATGGTTCTTCATCAGAGTTCAATTATTTTACGAAAGGAAACTGTTGTTGCTGGCATTTCTCTGAATTTATAATAGAATAACTGGTGATTGAAACTGATACTGTGTTGAATGATGCATAAATAGGAAAAGGAAGCTAGAATAGGAGGAGTCCCTGTTTATTTGAAATGCAGAGCACTGTACAAATACCAAATGATTAATGAATGGGACTTACCTGTAAATGTTATTAGGGTTATTAGTAAAGTTACTTGTATATGTTTGTCTGGCCTTTGAATAAAAAGGCTGCTTCATAATAAGATATATTATAAATGGCATATTGTTTTAAAAATATTTTCCATTATAATCAATTGGAATATCAACATTTTTTTCATACATTTTTCATTAACTGTGTGACTAATAATTTGGAGTTAAATAATATGAACTTATGTTAGTCTAACTAGGATAAATTTATAAATTCTAGAATTGCTACAAGTGGACACAGAGGGGGGTGTCTTATTTCAGAGTACTTAATCCAAAGTACTCATAGATCTGAAAGAATACAGTCTTCCATCCGTGAAAAACAGCCTTCTAATGGAACCTTGCTCAAAATCATGGTTTATTTAAAATGATTGGGCCAACAAAAAAGTGAGAGCGGGCGCACAGGCACGATGCGAACCGGTAGTAAAGGTAAGTAGAACCCACCCCTGGGATGTATAATTAGCAATGTTACATTTTCACAAGTGTTTTTCAAATGTAACTGGCTCAAAGCAGCCTTATAAGTCTTCTGTGAGTAATTGTAACATATGAACCTTAGCCAAATATTTTCAGTGAATACAGCTTATTGTCCAATTGCAAAATGATTGGCCTCTTCACATCTTGAAGCAGACCCAGGCTTCCTACTACATACAATGGGGGCTAAATGCTAAAAGCATTTTGAAACCCTAGAATTTACCTGCAAATGGGTCAGGTCCCTGGAATGGAATTTAATGTCTCCATAAGTTAAATTCAGTCCATTAAGTTAAAACTCATTAGTAGTAATGACTACTAATGTAATTTACTAATTACAAAAGTTCATTAAGTTTTAAGATAGTATTACAAATAGGAGATTATATTAATTATACCCACATGGTTCAATTTGTCAATGTAAGACCCATTAAATTACTGTTTAGGACTAAAGTGGGGACATGATAGGCAGACTCTAGTAAATATCAGAAGTCAATTAATCTAAATGATTTTAATGATTTTAAACCAGTTTTTCATTCAGTTACATGACTTTGTGTTAAGTATGAAGAGAATACTTTTTTGAAATCTGATGTCTATCTTTACTACATCTAAATAGTGTTATCCACATCAATAGGTCCTTTTAGTCAGATATAATATAGAGCCAACCCTTAGATTAATACAGGTAGTATATTAATTCTTTAAAAGTTTCATAAGAATATGAGACTCTGCAACATGTAGTTCTTCAAAAGGATTACAAAATAATACCAATGAAAATTGTGGCTTTTTTAAAGAGTTACAGACCAGATACTACATAAAAGTCTGTACCCCCATGCTCCAAAACACCTTTCTGGAACCAAATATTGATTCAAATCAAAAGTCATTTGGGTGTAATGGTTAAGGTGCTAGCCTAGAAACCAGGAAACTATGAGTTCTAGTCCTGTCTCTGACATGAAATCCAGCTGGGTAACCTTCAGCAAGTCATTCTCTCTCAGTCCAATCTATCTCACCATATTGTTTTTAAAGTTGAAATAGAAGTGGGAAGGAGTATTATGTATATTTACCTGAGTTAGCTATAAAAAAAATTATAAAGGCAGAATTTTAAAAAATCTGAAACACTGCATATTCTCAGCAATTCTTGTTACTTATTTCCTCTCTTTTTTAGCAGAAAAAATGCCATTTCAATCCAATTCCCTCAATGGATAGAAAGTCAGAAATCCCATTTATACATTGTAAAAACTGCAGCCCTTACCCCATGAGCTTGTTAGCCAACCTGAATAA